TACATAGAAGGGGTAAGGAATATTTGGTGGACGTGAGACCACTGAACATAGAATCTGGTGTTTTGGATAATAAAGTAGAAGTGCACACCAGTAGGTGTTTTACTAGCTACAGTAATGATGAACTAACCAAATGGTTACTACTTACTTTTTGGATCACAGTTATATATTTATTGATTAAAACATAAATTAAGCCTATATAAAGTTTCAAACTACAAAAGTACTTCAAAGAATATTATATTTGCAAAGCTTTGATTGAAGAGCTATGAAATGCACTTAAAAATGGCGCCAGAAGTCGAAGTTTTGAAAAAATAACGCATTTGTCTTTAAATAGATATTAATAAATGATCTATTTACATAGACAAAAAAAATATAGATGAGGTTCTTATACACTATAAAAGAGGAAAACTATTTAGCGTGGCATATAAATAGTACAATTTCACAGTACCAACCTTCATAAGATATGTAGCAATATAAAATAAAAATTTAAAAGTAAAGTTATTACTTAAATAAAAAATTATCGGTGCAACACAGACTATCAACAAATCGCTTTATGAATGTTTTGAAATTTTAACAAAAGCTTTAAAAGATTTTGATATATAAATAAATAAACCTTGATTTAACTCCAAAAAATTGGGTATCCCCTTTTAACATCGATGCAGGCGCTATAGGAAGAAAGAGAAAAAAGAAACACTTTTTTACAAATGCCCAAGCCTCCCAAATTAATACATTAACTATTCAAGTCTACGAACCAATAAGTCTGGTCGACATTCTAAATATCAATCTTCAAACAATATTCCTGTTTATAAACTGTCCAAATTCATCTTAAAATTTAGATTTTCATGGTATCAAAACTAGGAGTATGCGATACTTGGATAGAAGAGAAAGCTGTAGCACTTTTAAAATCAACCAATATAACTTTACTCAAAATAATGTATTTTCTGTTACTCCTATTTAGTTATTTCATGGACTAACTCATTGAATCTTTTGATACCGTGTAAGACTTCAACAAAATGACCCTTATCATGCTGTACAAATGTGTTCAACTCCTTGTTTACGCTGCCCAAATATTAAAGATACCTTTGCTGCTATCGAAAAGAAATCTATAAATATGAGCGGTGAATGAGGGCAAAACGAAGTATATATCGTCTACTAGTCGAAATGTGCGTCACTTAAACTCCGAACTGATAGCTGACAACTATACTTTCGAATCTATTAAGGATTTCATCTACCATGGCAACAACAATGTCAACCTGGAGACCAGATGCAAAATCACACGCCAGTAGGTCCTACTATAGACTAAGTAGGGAATTGGGATGTAAAGCTCTCTCACCATTAGGACATCCAGCAAAGTTTCTTTGTCTTTACCCCATGACCAGTCTGCGAAATTCTTTAGTATATTATTACGAGACTTTAGTCGACCGCACATTGCCATAATATGGGCAGAAAAGATAAACATACTATTGAAAAGGACTATCAGAATTTTTGATTTCACCGAATGGGCAAAGTCAAATACACCTTTCTAGTCTAGGAAGTAGAGAGGGTTGATGAAGAATTTATTGATGTTAAATTTTTATTCACCAAATAATGAGCCCATATGGAAAAGATATGCATTCATCTAGTTGTACAATATTGTAGCTAATATATTGCAATCGTCGGCACATGTTACAAATCTGACTTTTTTACGAGAATTCGAGAGTTGGGACATATACAAGTTAAAAATAATCGGTTTCAATTTCTTGGGTTTTCAAACTTTATCTCTACAATTGGTGAAAAGAATGATCTGCCTGCAAGATAGTTAAAAGTCCGTCGTTTTATCAAGTCAGCGATAGATGTGTGAGCTAAGTAATTTAGTAAAGTGCTATAAAAAACTGTGTCAAACATCTTCTCGAGCTTATGAAGAGCTTATGAAGTACCGAGCGCTCACGTGAATGACTTTAACTGAGGCCATTAGAGATTTAACAAGATAAAGGCTAGCTTTTACTCTTGTGAGAAATTGTATATTTTTTAAATAACTTCAAAATGTGTTTAACTTACGCATTTATTGCCACTGATTCAGTTTTGTTAGCGGTTTCTTGAAGAAATCGTTTTAAGAATGGAATCACACCACTGAAAAGAAAAATATATTCATTTATATATGATATTAATTTTGTAAAAAAAATAATTTAATTTTGCATAATTGAAAAATTCTTAATTGAAGATAAAAAATAAATATTAAATTATAAATGGTTAAATTAAAACGTTATAAAATTACAAATTAATTAATATATTGAATAATTCTATTTGCTATAGATATATTTTAAATTATTTTATTTATACAGTTAAAGTTATTTGTACTTACTCTAAGCTACGTTTCATTATAAAATCCTTTGCATATGTTGATAACGTATTTAATAAAATGAAACTTCTATTTAAAATAACTGAATCCATTTGTTGAAACCTTTCCATTAAAGGGTTCCATATTAAATGTACTAATGGTAATAGTTCATTTTCATAATCTTTTAATAACGGTATTCCGACGCTTAGGCAATCTAAAGCTAATATTTGATGAACTTTTTCAGTAGATGATAAAAATTTTAATATTTGATTTAATATATCTTTCACTATTTTTATGTAATGTGGTAATGAATCAACTTCATTTAAACTCTTTTCATTATTTTCGTTATTATCCTGCAATTCTTCCTTCGAATTTGAATCCATATTATTAAATTGTAGTCTTTCAACATTTTTTTTCTCTAGAATATTTAACCATTCAGTATAAAAGTCCATTTGTTGTTCAATGTTATCATCAACAAACATATTATTTTCTAATTCTTGATCATTAGAAAATTTCCAATTAGTAATTTGTTGCAAAAATGCCAGAAAAACTCTAAGGTATGAATTAATATTTTCAAATTGGTACATTTTTGAACATTCATCTTTAATAGTGTTAAAAATGGATTCCAAATGTGGAAGTATATTAGACGAGCTAAGTTGTAAAACTACTGTTAAAATATCAACAGCCGATCCACTTTGTGGAAACTGAAATACAATAATACAACAAAATTAAAATTTAATCGAAAAAAATATTAAAATACTATATTTAAAAATTAAAATACCTTCTTCAACAATTTGTTTAAATGAAATATGATATAGTCCGTATAGTTTTCAATAAAGTGTTGTGTTTCAGCAAATTTGAGAGACCGCTGCATTAACATTATTGTATGCATTGCTGCTTGATAAATCATACAATTACTGCTAGCTGCAAAAAATTAAACAATATTTTCATATTATCTGTTCTACTTATTAAAATGTGGTATATGTAATAACATTTAGTAATTTAGTAATTATTAATTATTTCTATAAATGCAAAATAAACTCTATTCTAACAGCGATGTATAATTTTATTTAGTT